CATCTTAAAAAAAACTGAATAGATTTTAACCTCTGCTTGCTGCAAATAGTGAAATAATATTTCATTGGAAGATTATTTGTAAATTCTAAAAACACCCTTGCAGTTAGGTATCCTGTGCTAGATCTGGACTAGCTTTCTGTAGAGAAGATCCTCACAGACATTTTATATCATCACTGTGATGCTTGCTTCACTCATGAAACCTAAAACAGGCACTAAAACCAATCTATCAATGCAATTTTTACTAATTATTCCACACACACCCCAACTGTGTTATGATAATTTTAGGAGTTTTCAGCTTTGTGTTACAGAACAAAATACATTTTAATAATAGAAAAGGCAAGCAGGGGATTTGCATTTTAGGTTACTTTCAAGTATCTAAGTTTTGAAGAAGAAGAGGATCTTAGGTATGGAAAGATGGATGGAGAAAACATTGTGTGGATTGGAAAGGAAAACAGGATAGCACAGGAAGCGTAGATAATTAATGTGGAAGTACATATGGGTTGCGTTCCAACTAAATTGGCAAGTGTGATGTTTGAGCAGAAATTGCAATTGTAGTGCTTAAAGATACAAGTCTGAGCATAATTCCACTTCAGAGAGAAGTTAACATTTCAGCAAGGTCTTCATACAATTAACATATCCAAAATCACACTTTTAAAGTAATTCATTTTAAGCAAAATAAACCAGATTGAAACCAGTAGGGCTTCTCAACAGACATGAGTAGGATTGTAGAGTCCAGTATTTTGTAATATTTCACACTTAGAGTCAACTGCCATTACTGCAGTAATATATGGATGTAATGTTGGGGATTTTATGTATTATTTATGTACCACATAATGAGCTACAGATTCACAATAATTTACAATAACAATCAAAAGGAGAATATACAATATCATCAATTTAAAACATCCATGATAAAACTACAATAAAGACATAAAAACCAACAGAACAAATTTAGCCAATTAACAACAGATGATATAAACAACAATAACAACAACAACTCGATAGGTGAATAAAAATGCCAAATCCAGTCTAAACATCTGGCTGACTGTGCAACCAAACATAATAACAACAACAGAAATGGTGGGAAAAAGGGCAAGGAAGATCAAGAATTGGTCAGCACCAGGTGAAGATGAACTGCACGGTTTTTGGTTGAAGCATTTGACTGGTCTGCACCCATTCATTGCCAAGCAGTTTAACAACACATTACAAGGAGGTGAAATTGAAGACTGGCTAACATCTGGCAGAACTACCTGATAATGAAAGATCCAGCAAAAGGGGCAGCAACAGATGCTATTGGACTGCATCAGTTATCACACCAGTAACTGGTGTGGTAGCTGATGCAGTTTCAACAGCATCTAGTTGAAAACAAGCTCTTTCCATCTTAGCAGAAAGGAAACTGCCCAAACAGCAGAGGAACAAAACATCAGCTCCTAACTGACAAGATGATTTTGGAAAACTGTAAGAGAAGGAAAACTAACTTGAATGTAACTTGGTTTGATTACAAGAAGGCATTCAACTCCCTGCCACCTGATTGGATAATCAGGTGTCTAGAAATAACAAGAGTCAGTAGAAAAACATCAGAAGTTTTGTACAAAGATCAGTGGCACCATGGAAGACACAATTGCTGGTCAATGGCGATAGACTGGAAGAGGTTAATATCAAGAGAGGAATCTTTCAAGGAGACTCACTATCACCACTACTATTTGTCATTGCAATGATACCTCTGTCAACAATACTGAACTAGGCAGGCCATGGCTATCAAATATCAAAAACATCTGGCAGGCTATCTCACCTCCTTTTCATGGACTATCTGAAGCTATATGGAAAAGCACTATCTGTAATGGAATTGCTGCTCAACACTGTCCGAATATACAGCCAAGATATTGCAATGGAGTTTGGACTGGACAAATGTGCCATCCTTACCATTAACAGGGGAAAAATAGTGAAAACTGAAGGAATCAAGATATCCAATGGAAATAACAAGAAGAGTCTGGATGAGGAAAATGATACAAATACCGGGGCATCCTTCAGGCTGACAATATCAAGCACACTGAACTCAAGAAAAAGATTAGTAGTGAATACATCAGAAGAGCAAAGAAGATCTTAAAGTCCAAACTCAGTGGTGGAAATACGATCAAGGCGATTAACACCTGGGCAAATCCAATCATTAGATATACAGCTGGAATAGTGGACTGGACTCAAGCTGAACTAAAAGCCCTGGAGATAGGAAGACCAGAAAAATAATGTTAATGAATCATGCCCTTCATCCACACAGCGAAGTTGACAGACTCTACTTACCAAGGAGCATAGGTGGACATGGAATGTTACAAGTACACCAGACAGTTGAAGAAGAAAAAAGGGAATTAGAAGAATATCCAAAGGACAGTGAAGAAGATGCACTGAAGTTAGTATATCATGAAGGCTTACTGAATACTGAAGAGATCAAACTGGCCTATAAGAAAGACCAAATGAAGAATAGAAAAGAGACATGGCAAGGCAAAGTATTACATGGCCAGTACATGCACACACACACACACACACACACAAACAAATTAGCAGGCAAAGCAGATAACAACAAGACCTGGCAATGGCTAAGAGCAGGAAAGTTGAAGAAATAGACAGAGGAGCTAATTCTGGCTATACAAGACCAAGCCTTAAGAACAAACACATGTAAAGCCAGAATTGAGACGACAGCAACAGACAGCAAATGCGACCTCTGCAAAGAAGCTGAAGAAACAGTGAACCATCTAGTTAGCTGCTGCAAGAAGATCACATAGACTGACTACAAACAATGGCATGACAAAGTAGCAAACAACTGTGCATTGGAACATCTGTAAGAAATGCCATTTGCCTGCAAACAAGAACTGGTGGGACCACAAAACTGAAAAAGTAATTGAAATTGAAGAAGTTAAAATGCTCTGGGACTTTAGAATTCAAACAGACAAGCACCAGCCACACAACACCCCAGACTTAACAAATGTTGATAAGAAAGACAAAAAAGTCTGGATATCTGGAGACAGCAAAATAGAAGAGAAAGAACTGGAGAAAATCACAAAATATAAAGTCCTGCAAATAGAAGTAGAATGCCTATGGCAAAAGAAAGCAAAGATAGTACTAATAGTAATAGGCACCGTGGGTGCAATCTCAAAACATCTGGAGCACCACTTGAACACTATTGGCATTGACCATCAGTCAATTGCAAAAGGCAGCTTTACTTGAAACAGCTTAAATCCTGTGACAGTGCCTTTAGCACCATCAAACAACAACATCTGCCTATCCTAGGTCCTTGGGAAGGATTCGATAGGTGGATAAAAATGCCAAATCCAGTCTAAACATCTGGATGACTGTGCAACCAACCATAATAACAACAACAACAACAACAACAATATTCCGACCACCACTCTCCAGAAAAACTTCAAGTTAAATTACTTTGTAATAGATGGGGTATTATGGGGATTATAATATGAAATTTCAGAAAAGGTGCTACTGTATTGAAAGACAGTTTATACATATCGAGTGAGTAATGTCACTGTATGAATTAGAATTTCAAACTGAAAAGTTACAAACTATCATCTGTTCTTCAGAGCTGTAAATAGGGTTGAGTGAATCAATATATTTTTTTCTCTTTCGTTTATATTTATTTGTCATTCCATTCACTGGCAATCATTACATAAATTTACTTTTATATATATTTTATATATAATTAAACCTAAAGAAGAATGAATGTTTTGTATATATGATAAAGTAGATCACAAGGTTCCATTTTTCAGTTTGGTTGGGGGAAAATAGATCAAGTCATATGAAAGCATGAGGGACCTGGAGAATCTACATGATTTTAATCTGGAAATTCTTTCTCTGTCCGCAATCCCTCTCCCAACCCCCAAACATTTACTCAGTACTCATCTTGGTTATTTAGATGGGAAGCAAATGATTATATTTTACCCTCTCTTCCTATACTGAATCAATAAGCAGTCTTAAAAACTATTGGATACAGTGGGTGTCTCAAATTATTTTTCATCGACCAAACAAGGCTAGATAAAGTAACACAACTGCAGCAGCATTTAAAAGAAATATGCACACACATATCATCAAAAAGGCCATTCTAGATACTAGGAAGTTAGATAGATTACTCTAGATTCCCCTATCTAACTTCCTCATGAAATATTAGAATTGATCCCAGGTGTTGAGACAAGAATCAACGTAGTATGCTCACCATCTGTTCCCAGTATTTACAGCATTTTTTGAAGTTTTTCTTATTTTTCATTGTTAAGCATTTATCTGAAATGTTTGTATATAGAGCAGAACCCAGGGGCATGAGAAGGTTCTTCTGTGTCCCCTCTCATCTGTGTCTGATTTTATAGTTTACTGAATAAACTTTAATATGATGCATCTTGTTAACAACATCTCTTTGGTTTGTGAATAAATAACATCACTATTTAACATCACTTCAGGAAAAAAACCTGAATGCAATAAATAATAAACACAATCATATCATTTATATATTTCCAAGAAGGAATCTGATTTCCAAACCCTTTCAAGCTGGTTACTTTTGTATTTGAACTACAGTAAGGTGTTCTTTTTTCCTTTCATCTTTTGCATTGTAAGTATTTGACAACTTTGGCCCACACTTGAGTCAGGCAGAACAATATCAGTGCAGTTGGCTTATTCTAAAAAAAGGTGTCATTGTTGAAGTTTAGCAGCTGCTTTTTCTTACAGGTTCACAAATGAAGCCAAATGCAAAGAGAAACCTTAGTCTCTGAAAGTTTGTTCCTCAAAAATAAAATAAAATGTGCACGTGACTTGCAGCTAAAGTATTTGAAAAATGTTTAGTTCCGCAAAAGGGTTTTGCTTTATTAGCAATTTCCTGTGTTTTACAAGCCATGCCTATGTGAAAGCAGAGTGGAGAGCTTCATATATATATAATCATGTGGAAAAGCAGTAAAATATCTATGTTTTATTTTATGGACAAAGATTCCAATTTATCTAACTTCTTTCAACAGGCAAGCAGTCCTACCACAGGGACAGCTCCCAGGAGCCAATCACGGTTATCTGTCTGCCCTTCTACTCAGGACATCTGTAGGTATGTGCTAAATGAGTATTCCTAACCTGATTAGTATGTGTCTGCTTTGTTTAATGAGCTATGGATGTCATGTTTGTCTAACCCCTTTCATGTATTTCCATTCACCTGTTTTTTGTTTGTATTTTCAGTGTCATGTTATATTCATGTTTCTGTTTGAGTCTATTCAGTCTCCTTTATTTATGTTCTTTCTCTCTCTCCCTCTCTCTCTCTCCCCTTGTTTTATCACTTTCTATCCATCTCCCTGGCTTCTTGTTTTGTTTAGATCTTCCACTTTGCATGACATATCAGAAGATACATTTGAAACATCAACCCATGTCATAGGGCTGAGTTCTGCTAAGAAAGAGCATGTTAAAAAAGTGAAACAAGGTGTTAGGCAGAGAAAGAAGGCTGAGGAGAATTATGAGGATACAGTAAAGCAAAGAAAAGACAAGACTGTCAAGTCACATCCCAAAATCACAAATCCTCGATGGAATGCCTTATGCAAAGCAACATCTGATTCATCATCATCAGATGAAAATTATTGGGCCCTAGTTAGAAAAAGAGAAAGAGCCAAAATGCTTAGAAGAATGAGAAGACACAACCCTTCAAATATTTCTGCAGATGAGCATTGCAATAAGAATGCTATTGAACTTGTCACCATGGGAATAACTGGAGAAAAGAAGTCTGAGCCCGAAAGCTATAATCTAAATAATCCTAGGAGGAAGATTACAAGGTATAAAGAAAACTGTCCCTCGTCATCTTCTGTGTCCTCTGTGGAACCCAGCTCCTTGAAGCGAACTGAAAAGCACCAGAGCAGCCATCAGGATCCAGAGCCTTCAGCTTACATTAGGCAAGGCAGAATAAGCAAGGAGGAAAGTGGTTCCAAGGGAGGCCCAAGCAGTGAACTTTTTTCAGTTCCAGGAAATGGAACACCTGCTGAGACAGGGACTTCTGTGACCGTGGCTGTTCAGAAACATCCTGCACTTTATGACGACTTGTCTGAGGATTTTGAAGTATGCAGGTTTGTCTCCTAATACAAAAGAGAATTGCTAGCTGATTACCGTGGATTACACAAAAGAGGTGGTTGTGTTTTTCACACTGCTGTTTGGAGTTTAGATAAGTATTATCACATGCTTGGCAACTAAACACTTTTAATGTCTTATAGACTTAATTGAAATTGGAAAAAATGTCTGAGATATGATACTGAACTATTTTGAAATAATAATAATAATGATGATGATGATGCTAAAAATAGATATACAGTACATTCTTCCTTAGAAGAACTCATTCTTATTACTTTCCATTCTTATTTTTTCTTCTTGACTAAATTCTAGGATAGTAACAATTCAGTGAAAGTCTTTGTTGTTGTTGTTTGTGGAATATCTTTCAAATTTGCAAACTGTCATGCTTACAGGCCCTCAGTTTGTCTTTGGAAATATATTCCTTGCCTGACCTAAATGTTAAAATGTTCTAGAGGTTCTGCTGTCTATTTTATGTAATTATATATTCTAAAAGTTCACACACAAAATATAGCATTGAATCACCTGCTAGAAACAATTTCAAATGAAAAAATCAAAACTCTTCCAGAAGAGATTATGTTTTCTTGATCCACCAGTTGCTTGACCCATTTTGGGTCAAGCCAAAAATGCACTTTTTTAATATTGGGGCAACCCATTCCTGAAGAATTATAGCTGCAAAAGCAGGGTGTTAGAATGTGTTCCTAATTTTTAATATAAACATGGAATAATATATTTCCAGGATTTGATTCTAATGGCAGCCCTCATTTAATGGGTAACAGAAGTATATTTGAGATTTTATTATTCTAGATAGATATAGATAGGTATAAATATTCCTATGTAATGGTATAAAGAGATCTTTTCAGATTAATTAAAGCATAGTACTTCCTGTAGAAATGAAGAGATTTTTCAGTCTGGTGTCAGAACATTAAATCAACAAACAGCTCATCCCTAGAAATAAATCCTATAAATATTTTCCCCTTTGAAATCTATGACAACATTAGAATAAAGGTTTGAGCTGAAAATTAGTATCATTAGAAAATTGCTAGTATATTAGGAGGTGCCAGCTAAAGTAAAACACTAGAAATCTTAGTTATTATTATGGTTTCCAAAATGGGTTTTGCTTTAGATCCCTCTACTTTTCTGTGACACTCCAAAAGAATTCACTAGACATAATGTCTCATTCAGTAATTTGCTAGTTTCTTATTATACTCATATCCTTTCCTATGACTAAAAAAAAAAATTAAGGCTTTCTTCTCATGCTCTGAAAGTGGAAATGATTTAAAAGCAGTTGTGATTTGGCACGGGGGGGGGGGGGGGCGGTAATACCTTCAAAACATTGGAAATTCATTTTGACAAATGTGAAGAAAAGGCAACAATTATTTTAACTATCATTTAAATTGTGGAGAAGAATTGTCCTGTTGAGGTTAATTAAAGATTCCTTGCTGCCACAACCACCAAAGGATTATAGTAAATATGGACTCTTACATGTTTGGTGATATTTGTGCGATTCCCATGACATTTATGGTCTCATCATAAGTATTTTCATCTCAGTTGCTCAGAATACCAAGAAACTGACACGCTCCTATGAAAGCAGTGAGGACATTTGGGAATGACTAGAACAATGATAGATTATGCTGTCATTACACATGGAGAGTAGAACTCATTAGTCCTTGAGAATTGGGCTCCCTTTTTGTTGTTGTTTGTTTATTTTTTGACACACATTTCTTTTCATAACTCCTATATGTAGAAAGTACATTTTTAAAACATGCTGCAAAATCTGTTGTTTATTACTTGCTATCACCAATAAATTACAGTTAAACAAGCAGAACACAACTTAGGTGAAAGATTTATGAAGCAGTGATGCTGAGTCACCCAAAAATGGGCTTCCTTTTTTCACTTCAAAAAAAGTTACAGTGCTGCAATGAATTAAAACCAATTTGTGGTCTGCTTTTTGATAGTCACGATTTCCTTAGAAAAAAGAAAAAAATGTAACAAAATATGTATAAAGACAGGAGAATAGGCACTAAACAAATTCATTTGAACTTTACTTGATTTTCACTTGTATTCCATATCTGAAAAGGCATTAAAATACAATACACTTCACTAGGTATCACATTTTAAGTTGGCAGCTGGGTATTAAAGTGCTATTCATAAAAAAGCTAACCAAATGTAAAATGTGTACCAAACATTGGAGGACAAGAATAGGTTGATGATTCTTTACTCTCAGTGCAAATCTGTCTGTATCTGCTGAATTTGTCTGTAGCTTACAGAATCCAAATTAGAAAAGTATGTATTCCTTCAGAAGTCCCAATAAGCATTTCAGTGTTCCAAATAACTATAGTAGACTTTTGAAACCAACCATGAACTTTAGCTATGCATTTTCTCACATGGAAGTGGCTGATCAATTGGAACTGTATTTCAGGATACTACAGATTATTAATTCTATCACTATACCATGTGTTGCTGGTTCATACAAAATAAAACAGAACTGTTTTGTACTGTATAGTTTCTAGAGGAAGTGCATCAAGTTTATGATTCCTTTTCATATCCTCTTTTAATTTCTTTTTAAGCCTTAAAGCTATGTACAGTTGCAAAACATGTTATAACATATTTCAGAACATCTAGCCAAGTAGTTTTTTTTTTTTTAACTTTTCTTATGCAGCATGTGCAGATAAAATAACTGGAATGTCTGTATAAGTAGCCCTCCTAAGTTTTCTTTTTCAAACAAACAGCATTTCCTATCACAAAATTTAATAAAGTTCTCCAGTCTCTAATGTAGGAACTGCTTTATTAATTATAAAATGTTTAACTGGAGCTGTCAAAATTAACCTTTTATACCATACGGAAGCTCACTAGTTTCAAGAATTGGAAGAGAAGTATGGCTTCAGATGCTGGTTTGGTAGAGAAACAGCTTGAATCTGGGTTCAAATTTAACTGAAAGCTTTTCCTTCCTCGTTACTTTCTTATTAGTTTAATTGCTCTCTGTGACAGGAGCAACCAAGCAGGGCTGATTAGGCATATCATTGTGTCTTTTCTCTCATACTGGCTTTCCCTAATCTTCAATTGAGCTAATTACAATCAGGATTAAGTATAGTATAGGACCTTCCTGCTGCTTCTGGCTTTTGAGGGCATTTCCTAACCCTGACTAGCTCCTTAACCCCTTAGAAGGCACTTTTGCCAACTTTGAAATACTGAGAACAGAGAACATTGTGAGGCAATCAGTGTTATCTTCAGTTAAACAATAGAAGTATGCGCAAAAAAAAAATTGATCGGTGCCTGACTCTCTGACCTGCTGCGGCTCCTTGAATAATGAAAAGTCTCCCCTCCTCCCCCTGGAAAGAAAATAGTTATCATCTCCATCCATGTTCCTGTTCATTTTTTTGCCTATTTGCAAAATAAAAAAAAGGATAGGTGACAAGAGGAGAACCTATCTAGTTAAAAATATGTCATCCCTTTCCTTCTGCTGTTATTTAAAAGGTACTGTGAGGCTGAATGAATCATATCTTTGCATTTTTGGTACCAGGTGATTTTACAGTAACTCTAATCATGACTGTTTGTTGCAGCAGAAGCAGGAAACACAGCCAGAATTTATCTTGGCTGTTCTAATTGTTTGCAGATCTTTGCCTCTTTCCACATAGTAGCTCAAGAGATGATATTAACAAGAATTTTGTGGTTTCCTTTTCCCTTTAGCTGGGGATCAGCTAGCATTAAAGCACTAATCTGCTGCTTGTTTCCTCTCCAAGTGACTTTCTTGAAACAAGATTTTCCTGATGATACATTCTAAACTGAAGTTCTGAGAGATGTGTGTGTGTGTACGCATGTAAGTTTAGGGGCCAGGAGGTCAGATGAGGCAAGATTTCCTGCCAGTAGGGAAAATGAATGGCAAACAAACTCAATATTTCAAAGCATTGCAAAATAAGATACTACCCTTGCTGCAGTTTGAAATACATTCTGGCTGACCCAGAAATAAATCAGCTTGGTTCTCAAATATTCTGATGTTGGTGAACTTGCTTTTGAGGTGGCAATGCTCCAGGATGGTACAGTTGCTTCCTTGCTAAAATTGTTCTTTCAGTTTAAGGTCTGCTGGAAACCTGGTGCTATGTTTTAGCCCCTGCTTGAAGTCTCATAACAGCTCTCCTTTTCTCAGTTGCCACTTCCAATCTTTAAACTAAGATTGGAAGACTGAAGACCCAATAATTTCTCAGCTTGGTGCTTTGCTTCCATCTGGGTCTTTAATCATTCCCCCCCCCCCTAGAATTCACTGGGCCCTAACATAGTGTGCATATTTTTAGTATGTAATCTGTAGTTCTTTGTGGGTGTTCTAATTATCAAGCACATTTGTTGAATCCTTGATCAGTTTAAGTAGTATCTATTGAGTCCAGTTTATATATATACAAAGCCATCTTCTTTCATTAAACATTTTAAATCTATAAACTTGAAAGCATTTAAATTATGAATTGTTAGTAAGGCAGCCACAGTTCAATATAATGCAGCAGATATTACACTCAGGGGTAGTCACAATACAATAAACATTATAAAATACAAAATACAGTGAGTGACAGCTATGGAATAAAGATGAGACTCTAAAACCTTATCTTTGCTTTGGAAAGATTCTAACCGAACAATATTCAAGCAACTAAAACTAAAATACTGTTGTTCATATGACTACTAGGCCATAATGGCTGCATTTCAGATAGTAAACTTTCATCCTTTGCTACTTTTTCTACAGTGTGCCTAAATAGGACAGAAGTTTCTATTTATGATTATTATCTTCAGAATAGACCCACATCTTCAATCCACTTCAAACCATGGTTTATAATTCTGGCTGGTCCAAAGCTGGTAACTATAATTTTTCAGTTTAGTGAAATGGGAAAATATAATTAATTATAAACTTTCTAACTTACTATAATGAGTTGAGTAAAGATGCCAGATATATAGAGAAAATAATAATACATATCCTGCCATTTACTGAAAGATTATTGTCTAAAATCATCCAAGATTC